AAGATAAAGTAAGTTAAGTTTAAGTTATAAGATGAGATCAAGGAGAAGAATGTTAGGTTGATCTCCACCAATTTGGCCCAACGGCCGGATTGGGCCATTGATCCGCGCCCTAATCGGGGGCGCTCAGCTGTTCTAAGTGGCTGATGGGCCCGTCGCGCAGCACTATAAATAGGAGGTGAGGGCTGGGGCTCGAGACGCGAGGTTCACTGCAGCTGCCAGCCCCACCGTGATTCCTAGCCTAGTCCGATCTAGAAGGGCGTGCTATGAGCGACGGGAAGCTCTATCGGCCTTCACCGCCGTCACTGGACTGCGCCACCACTACGATTCTACCCCTACTCCGACACTAGAGGCGTGTCGCGCCGCGCCATGACGAAGTTCATCACCAAGTTATCCCATTAAGCTAAGTATTACCTACTGATCTACGTCTAGAAGTACTTTCAGTTCTATCATTATTACCCTCTAATATATCCTAGCTTGCTGTGTTTTTTTAACTTGTTTAATCCTGTTTTGTATACCCTGTATATATTTCTCATGGCTCAGTATATATGATATTATCTTATTCTGCTTTACTTGTAGGTCCCTTATTGTTAATATTGGCGATTTGTTAGAGAGGTGGACTAATTGTGTTTTCAGGTATCATCATTTATTACTTTTGTTCTCCCAGAAGTCCACTCTGTGCGCACTGGCAACTTGAAACATTGTTTTCTGCAACTCTTCAGAGTTGTATGATATAAAACACAACCCATCTATTAGGGCCTTGATTAGATCACCTCCAAATTTTTGTTGTGGTTCATAATTTTTGACAGCATGCATCATTAAATGTAGGTAAAAAAAAATAACCGTGTACTAGTTGATATAAATGAGTATCTTGAGCCTAGTAGTCCAGTAGTATATGATAGCTCGAAGCGTTACGATATTATATTGTAAAAATCCATTGACAAAGTATAAATTCCATTGTCTAATTGACAGCATCTTGCATACAACCGTGTACTAGTTGATATGATGAGTATCTTAGTAGAGTAGTATATGATAGATCGGTTACTTATACAATCCATTGACAAAGTATATTCCATTGTCTCGCCGACCACCTTATAATCCGTACTATTCAGCTTGTTTTCTCTGTTTTCAGTCAATTTACCTAAGTTTCAGCAAGCGGAACGGGAAATGTGTTGAATCTGCTAATGCGTTTCTATTGCAACTTGCAGATCTACATTGCATCGTGTTGTTCCTGTTGGGAAAGAGAGATACTCTGTGAGTAACAAAGAACTTACTTAATTCATAATTTCTGCTAGGCGTTTCAGTATCCTTTTAGCCTTTACGTCCTCTGATTCTTTGCTTTAAGAGGAGCACTTCAACCAATAAATTATACATGCTTAGTGTTACTGCCAGACGGTGACGGATAGTACATACACCTTACACAATATTTTTTTGTATTATATCAGGTTGCTTTCTTCATTGATCCAAGCCCAAATCTAGTGGTGAAATGCATGGAAAGCTGTTGCAGTGAGGCATATCCAGCAAGGTCCACTTTTGGTTATGTTAACACAAGTTTGGTCTATATATTTCCCCGCTAGCTTATCGAAATTTGACACCTCTTTTTTTTTCAGGTTTGCACCGATCAAAAGCGGTGACTACATAGAAGAGAGATTGAGCTCTGCATATAAATTGGCAACCAGTTAATCAAGCGATCAAGTGCTGAACGTAAAGAGTGCTCTGTTATGGCCATTCAGCTTTTATTTGATGTAGCCAAAACATTTCATAGTACTGATGGCATGTTTCTCCATCTCATGTCTGGTGTACTCTTTATGTTCTTCTGTCATGATAAAGATCAATGAGTGAAAAACTTGTCCAATAAATCAAAAGGCGTATGTTTTACCTCATTTACAGAGGCCACCAACCTATTGCGTCCTTACACGATTTAGAGATGCCGTATATAACATGCATGATGCCGTGACGGCCAGGGTACATGTTCGCTTCAACTTATTAGCCTGATTTATCAGTTATGGTATAATATTTTTCTTTCACAATAAATCAGCGAACAATATTTTTTAACATTTTTTCGACGAAACGAGCCACTCTACTATCTCACCATGGAAAAGGGAAGCAGAAAGAAAGCAGAGCCACTAGACTACAGCTCCCTTGGAGTAAGCTGCATCGAAGCCAGAAATCCGGGCACGCAGACGCAACAGCCTCGCCTGAGGCCCTGTTTAGTTTCAAAAAGTTTTCTTAAAAAATGCTACAATAGTCATCACATTGAATCTTACGATACGTGGATGGAACATTAAATATAGACAGAAAAAAACTAATTACACAGTTAGGTAGAAAATCACGAGACGAACATTTTAAACCTAATTAGTTCATGATTGAACACTAATTACCAAATAAAAACGAAAATACAGAGTACCAAAATTTTAAATTTCACGGAACTAAACAAAGCGCAAAGGCCAAGCTTGGCCGCGGGAAAGGGAGCTCACGAAAAGGACAGGCAACAGCGACGCTGACACGCTGTGCCGTCCCGTACCGGCAGGGAGCGAGCCGGATTGATGAGAGAGGACGACAGCATCTCCGCCGGGACCATCCCGGCCCTTCTCCGTGGCCCGGCGCCCGGCGCGCACGGCACAGCGATGTGGGCACCGAACTTTGTCGTCGTCGCCGGAACGGATCAGAGATGTGTCACACGTCATCATGAAGCTCACCCTCTTTTGACCTTTTGCAGTAGAAAGAGCACGGTGGCTTGTGTAAACTCCACACCGATTTGACGTCAGGAGTGCGATGGACGGACTGAATTATTGGTACCCGAGAGCACTACAATGAAGAGACGCCCATGATGATAAGATATTTCTGTGGTAGACAAGCCAAGATGTTGCCAAAAGCGTGTTTATATATATATATATATATATATATATATATATTGTGTTCGTGTCCAGTATTTTAATTATGATTTTGTCCCTATTTTTCAACTTTATGTGTTTTTGTCCTTTTTATTTTGAACTAAACTATCCATCTACCCCTACCTTGCATGTCCGTCTGATGCCCAGCGAATAGATGAATTAAAAAAATTTCCAAACCTGAAAAGAAAAGACCAAATGGCTATGCTGCCCCTTATCCCTTCCATGCTGTTTCCTCGACTCCTCCAAATCGACTTCTCCAAAACACATCGGAGAGGGAAGGCGGCGGTGCTGGTGCCTGTGGCGCAGTGGCGTGCGGGTCTTGGCGTCTTGTGTGTGAGCGGGCATGCGTGTGCGATCGCTGCTCAGTGTGGACCGGGAGCGGGCGGCGGCGGCTCCCGGCGGCAGCGCCCTGACACGTGGTTGGGCTGTAGGGTGGGCGGGCGGCGGTGGGCTGCGGGCGGGCTGCAAGGCGGCAGGGCAGGTGGCGGCGTGTGTAGAAAGGCCTGCCTCTCTCCCGGCCGTGCCGACGATGCGGGCACGAGGGCCACCATGGGTGCCAGCGCCGCCGCAGACGCTAGCTCGGTCACGGGCACGAGTTCCAGCAGCGGGCGCGCGTGGTTCGTTGAGGTCGCGGTGTACTGCTCTGACGGCCGACGAAGGAGGAAGAAGTGGATCCGGGAGTCTCCGCGACGACGAGGTGCACTAACTGCAGCAGCCAGGAGGAAGAAGCTGGCTGCTTGTTCAGTTACTTGCAAGCGTGGTGGTCTCGTTACAAGAAGCATCATGATTTTCTGGATTCATTTATCAGATGGTACTTTTCAAGAGTTTATGATCTTTGCCATTCTCAATTGTAGCAACGTATTTTACGACATAGTAATTTTCAACTGTAATTTGACTCGGTGGATTAGGACCGTAACAGTTTAACAGATTTCCAACTGTGATTTTGAATATTTTTTCCAATATTAAATCTGATTTGAAATATTGCAAATTGTGCTAAATAAATTTGATCAAATCGAACGATTTTTATCAAAAATACAATATAAATGTCTTATTCTAAATTAGGGGTAAAATCATAAATAGCCATAAAAAACAGATACAAAATCACATGAGCATATTTGTCATTTTTATAAAAGTTAACACCGTTAGAGAAGGATGACGGAATATGGGTAAATTGGTGCTTCGTTTTGAAAATACAGGAGTAAATTCACAAAGTTAAAAAAGTTAAAGGCAAAACCACAATTTAAATACAAAACAGAGGCAAGAATGCAAGAGCCCCCATATATATATCCACAACACTCAACCACGCATTATTGTTGCGCACGTAAGATTATACATTTTACATTACTACTAGTATACGGCAGCAAAAACCATACTGGAGTACCCTGTACAAACTGCGGAGTACAAAAGCAGGGGAGTCCGCGTGGTAGTCACTCATACAGCAACAGCATTACATAGCGATCTCATCACTCTCTTCAATACAACACACCAGGTACTGTAGGACTCTGCTACATCGATGTCGCCAGTCTGGACGACATGTACACGGTGACATGCACGAGCTGATGCCAAGCTTGTGTTGCCCAGCCGCCTCCTCCCCTTCGAGGCTTGGATGACATGTACACGGTGACATGTAGTACGGAGTAGTAGCTTACAGGTTACAAAATCAGCAGCACCCACCTCACTCACACGGAGATTCACAAGAAGATGACATACTACACCGTTAACGTATACGGAGTACTACAATATAACAGAACCGTCACCAGAAGCTCTGAAAGAGGTTATACGGCCCCTCTGTTCCGGTCCTCCAGTTCGCTAGCTGTTGATGGTTTCCTTGTGGGAGTTCAGAGTTCTCGTCTTGGGCAGTTGGCCGTTGGGCCCGGCCGGCTGCTTCAGCGGTCCAGCGAACTGATTACCACCCTGCCGTGGGAGTCGGAGACACGCAGATCAGATGGATATCATACCAAATCCAAGCAAGATTCATTGCATGTCCTAGCCATTTTCACGTACTACTCCTATAGCATCGTAGCACGTACCGTGCGGTTCGGTACGTTCAGAAATATCTGTGGTATATAAAGGCGATTTATACCGTACAATAAGCGAGGTACGGAGTACTCACCAATCGTAGACGGTGGGGCTCCTCGGCGTGCCGGGGGCGTCGGCGCCGTCGGCCATCCTGCCTTTCCGGCGCAGCTTCTTCCAGCCCTCCCCCTTGGGCGTCGTCGCTGCAGCATCAGGATGGCAACGTACAGAGACACAACAACATCAGCCGGGTGTTAAACGCGGTGCTTTCGTTTCGGTTTCGGATCGGATCTACAGCATTCAACTATCCAAAAGTAGCTTAAATTGGCTAGAGATATCAAAATTCGGCTAAAACAAAGCATTCAACTGTGATTTTGCATACAACTGACTGACCAAAAGATTCATTTCTCCAGCTAGATCAAACGAAACACCACACAAACACAGCAACAACTGAAAAAAAAAATGAAGAAGATGGCGAGAGCCGGTGGTCACCTGCGCCGAAGGGAGAGTCCGGAGCGCCGCTTGCCGGCGACGGCGAAGACGGCGCGGAGCTGGACTCGCTGCGGGGCGACGTGATGACGGACAGCGCCGCGGGCCGCAGCATGGTGATGCTCCGCGTCACGGCGGGCGGCGGCGCGGAGGAGCCCGCCGCCGCACCCTCTGCGGTCGGCGACGGCGCGGCCGCGGCCACGGACGCGGACGACGAGGGGGAGAAGGAGGCGTACTTGCGGAGCTTGCCGAGGCCGGAGTCCGGGCACGGCCCGGCCACCGTGTCGTCCCACAGCTGGTCCAGGAGCCCCATGCACGGATGCGCGCGTCCTGCTATACGTGCGTGCAAGTGGCCGGCGTGGTGCGCGTTGTTTTGCTTAGAGAGCGATGCTCTTGCTATGTTTTCTTCGGTTCTTGTTTGATGTTAGGCAATCGTTGTCCTTGGGCGAGAGGAAGAAGAAGGCTAGATCTGGCCTTCAGGCGTGAAGTGTGCGGATCGAGGTCTCTCCTCCTTGTTGTTCTATGTTCCTTTCTTCTTGGAGGAGGACCAAGGCAGCAGTGCAGTTTTATAGAGGAAATTGAGGGGTGGAGAGAGGATTTAGGCGACATATTTGGGGGGTCATGTGTAATTTGGGATTATCAGTATTTTTTCCTACATGTCTTTTTTTTACACTCTAAAAAGCCGGCCTCGGCTCACTGAATCAGAGGTCTAGCGCCCATATTGGATTTTCCTGGGTACCATTTTACCCTCTTTCTTTCTTTAGCATAAATAATAGGCATTTACCATTTGTTAACTCTAACAAAACCTGCTTAAGTTGGTTTTCTTGTGACTGCACCGACTTTGGCCAAACCAATTAAGCTGGTTTTTTTGGTAAAATCTAAGAGGAGGTTAGGATTTGTGACTCTCTCTCTCTCCTATCCTCTCTCTCCCGAGATCACATCTCGTGGGAGGCGTGGTCACAACCGAGGACTAGGGCCCTGTTCGTTTGGAGGAATTTGGAGGAATCTGGAGGAATTTGTGAGAGCGTGAACAGTGAATTCCGGCTGGTTTTTGCACCAGCCGAACGGCGCATAGGGGTGATACGACCGAGGCTAGCGGGGTCAGGGGTGCAACAAAGGCAAGGGAGACAACGATGCGTATAGTGGTGATGGTGATGGTGATGGCGGGTAGAGTAGGGCAGCGGGTAGAGTAGGGCACGAGCTAAGGCTCGACGAGGGTCGGGTGGCTTGGCGAGGTGTGGCGAGGACTCAGGGCGGTGCGGCCACGACTCCATGGAGATGTCCTCGCTAGAGTACCACGAGGACGTAGGCAAGGCCACGACAATAGCGATGAGCTATATTGGCTCGGAGGATCTCTGTGTTCTGCTACACCGAGTTTGCCATCGAGATCCCCATGGCTGGTGGCTCCTTCGCGTACCACTGCATCGAGATCCCTATAGCTCGGACCAGGGGTGCACGCGATGGCCAGGGGGCATGCTCGGCCAGTGGTTCACCGCCAGGGTGGTGCTCAGCTAGGGGCCGTCACGGATAGGGGTGTGGCCAGCCATGAGGGGTGGGGGCGGAACAAAAACGGGGGGAGATGAAGCGAATATGCAAGCCCCACATGTTAACATGCCACATCAGCACATGTGCACGAGTCTAGACGTGTTTGGAACTTAGAGACCCGAACTGAGATTGATGACTGAAGTGGGCAATTTGCGAGTTTGGAGACCTGAATGCTACACTCTTACAAGAATAAGGACCCCTTATGGATTTTATTTTTTAATTAGTATGTGTAAGGTAGAAAACTGCTTTGGTTTTCTTGCTCTGAAAGAATGAACCGTCTTAGCTTTTGTTTGAACTCGATCAAAAATATTTTTGTGTGCTCCTCCTCCACCACCTAACTCTGCATGTTAGATCATGAAGTGCATGTTAGATAGATCACGAAGTGTGCAACAGAAACAACCAAACCAAACTTTGTTCCCCTGCGCGGGCCCATATGAGCTGCCTTGAATTGTGTGATCCCTATCATCACCTATTCACATGTTTTAGCTTGTTTGTGTTCTACCTCTCTTCCCATTTCAGTACATGCGCGCCATGGATGGTCGTTGTTGAGACACGAACCGATCAAGGAGCCTGGCTTGGTTACAGCCTAAGCGGGCTTTCCGTGATGTCTACAGGTAATAATCATCGAAAATTAATGATTCAAATTCTAACTCATGAATTGATGGGTTTGAATTTTTACATAAAAGAGAAAAAAAAACACTCTTCCAACTTGGAAGGTCAACGCAGGCCTCCAAATTCAAAATCGAATGTCTGAACCCAAGATTTAGGGGGTGTTTAGTTCCTTCAAATTTCAGAATTTGACACTATGCAAAAAGAAGATTTTTGTACATGCATGGAGCTAAATTGAAATTAAAACAGTGTTCTAGATACAGGGACGAACGTTTTAAACCTAATTAGTCAATGTTTGGACAATTATTACCAAATAAAACAAACAAAAAAGGCGTGGCAAAAACTTGGTGCCCAACTAAACAAGGCCTTATACTTTTTGGAAGCTACATTGACAGTGTTCTAGATCGACCTTTCAGTACAAATAAATAAAGGAAAAAAATGCGAATTCTAGGAGCCAACATCCGAACACCTCGTGCTGGCCCAAGCTAACACCATACCCGCTCGACTTAGAATTGCTGGAATTGGTGACAAAAGCTATAAGTGACTATTTGGCACGACTCCTCCGGTCCTTCTCCATGTTGCTTTTTCGGAGGAGCCCAAGCCGAAGAGAGGAATCATACATTGTAACTCTAGCTTCTACACAAAAAGCGATTCCACCTCCATTTACATGCATAAAAAACAGTTTTTGCTTCTAAGAAGTTTGGTACGGCTTCTATGCCTCCTATGCCGAAGATGCGGTTGGAGCTAGAGCTACAGCCCGGAGCTGTTCCAAAAGAATGAAATTACACTACTACATAATTAATTTTCTAGAAACGTCCCCATTTTTAGATAGAGGTGCTCTATCTAAAATCGCCTCTAAAATTATTTTCCGAAATGAGCTGCCCCTAGAAATCTATTTTAGAGGCGGCTGCTCTAAAAATGCTTCTACATCAAGGAACGGCTAGATCTAGAGCCGTCTCTATAATAAATTGATTTGTAACGGCGGCTGGATCTAGAGCGGTCTTTAATATAGGTGTAACACGGTAAAATTGATGACTTTTTAAAACGAAGTCGTGGAAACAAACTTTATATCAATGATATATATCTCGAAAAGATCTACAACTTTATAGTTGATGACTTTATCATTTGAAATCATATAGATCTCGCAAATCCTGTTTGAAGTTCTCATATTTTGAAATCAAAAATTTGAATTTTCAAACAACCTCAGAAATGACCAAAACCAAAGTTACAAATCTCAAAAAGATCTAAAACATTGCATTTGATAACTTTTTCATTTAAAATACTCTATGATCCCAAAATTCAGTTTTAAGTCATTATTGAAAATTTTCAAACGACCACAGACGGAGAAACGGCAAAAAAAGTTGGAGATCTCAAAACTATATACAAGTTTCGAGTTAACAATCTCATCTGGAATCATTTACCAATTCTATTTGAACTTCTCACATTTTGAAATTCAAAATTATCAAACATTGGATGGAGAAACGACTAAAACCAAAGTTGTAGCACTCGACTTGAGTTGAAGTGGTTAAGGGAACTACACACGAGGCCATAGGTTGCATGTTTGAATCCCGCCGTCCACACGCTCGTGTATTTCATGCAAAAAATTGAATGACTTATGACTTGTGACTATTAGGATCGGAGTTGACCTCTGGTGACTTCTCTAGGTTTTGTAGTGGCGGTTAAAAATACGAGCCACCTCTATACATTGTTCCTGGGTGATTAGAACAAAGAAATAGGCAAACATTTTTCCTTTCCACATTAGCGTAAAATTTGGTTTCTAGTGATTCTGATTCACTTCCTCATTTCAATTTCTTCACATTAGAAACCAGCTAAGGAGACAAATGATTTCACAAACGTGATCCTTGTGTTTTTAAGAAGAAACCGAATCTAAAATGCTTTTATGAGAATTTAAAATCCTACAAAACAGGCTCGCACCTGCTGTATAACATTTTCCATTTTTGGTACCAAAGTCGACCTTCACACCTCAAAGTTTGTTTTAGGTTTGAAAAATGATTAAATTAGGTGCTGCCCAACAATATAACATATCGGTCTTTCTTAAACTTCAGTACAAAGTACTCCCATTCATCAAATATATAGTCGTTGTTGTTTTGTTATATCTAATTTTGGTTAAGCTTATAGAAAAAATATATTGACATATCAATTTGTTTCACTAATTAAATGATTCACGAAATAGATATTAATCAAATATTTATTCTATATAATGTAAGTAACGTTAATATATATTTTTATAAATGTAATAACATTAAATACATTTAACTTAGGTGAAACTATTTCAGCCTGTATTTTGGAGGGACGGAGTATCAACGCATCTTATGAAGTGACAGAATAGCAAATCTCACGAAATGAGACACCAATAGACGACCTTTTTTGATTGACCGGGCACGGGCTGGCTCACTCAGAGCCGGGCCCACGCGACAACCAGTTTCCTCGAGCAGATAAGATCCAGTGCTGAAGGCCAACTCCAGGACGCCACGCACTGGACGACCCGGGCGCCCTCGTGTCGAGAGAAAGCGGTGCCACGTGCGTACGGACGTACCGTGCCCTACCGGGTTTATGATGACACACACGATCGAGTCGAGACGATGTGCGGGCGGCTCTGAGCCGTTGGATGCGGGCCGAGGGACGCGTCAGGAGATCGACCAGCAAGTACGCCGTACACCCATGCAGATGCAGCATAGAGGACGGCGAATACTAGGCATGCATGTCCATCGATCTCTAAGATATTTGTTCGTGGTAAGCATGCAGATGATGATGATGATGCCTTCATGCTGGAATACTAGGCATGTATGCATGATGACGACGACGACGATGAGCTTATCTGCTGGAATACTAGGCATGCATGTCCATCGACCTCTAAGATATTTGTTCGTGGTAAGCTTTACTCGATGATGACTGGGGTTAGAGCTACAAGACTGAATTGGATCTTGTCAACATGCGCTGCAATGATGTACGAAATATATATGTTTAGAAAAATATAGAGAGGAAGGATTTACAATTTAACAAAGAGAGTAATACAACACTGTTCCAACATCTGTAAGAGTTTTACACTTAATCATTTATTATGGCAACGTATCATGTGTGAATCAACCAACCTGTATAAACTTAGAAATTACCAATTAAGACCGGTAAATGCTGATC